AACTGATCTCCCTGCTTCTAGGGTGGCAGTGCCCACCCCCAGCACCGCCATGGTTCATTTTCCACACTGCAACTGGAGTGATTTTTATAAATCCCAAGAATCTGATCATGATCATGCCTCTTCCCTGCATAAAGCACGCCAGTGACTCTGACTGATTATCCTGATTTAATGTCCTTGTCCACAACTACTGTCCCAGCAAAATTATCCTTCTCAAAAATGTCCTGGATTGTACAATAATGATATGATCACCCTACACCTAATCTGTCTTTCTCTTATGTTTCCAGCCTCATTGCTCCTCATTCTTTCTTCACCCCTATGTGCTATTCTGATCTTACTGCAGTTAAAGTATTTCTAATGTGTTGTACTCACTGCTCTCACATTCTCTTTCTTCTGGCTGGACTGTTCCCTTGTCTCCTTGCCTGGCTGACTCTTACTGTATGGGTCACAGGCTAGATCTTCCTTTACAGAGAAGTCTGTCTTCTCTGACCCCCAACATCTGTCTGTGTTCCCACATCATCTTTCATCCTAGCTCCTGCCTCACTGTTTTCATTACCCGTTAACTTCGGTGGGACCCCACTAACCTCTAAGAAATAAAACATCACAGGCTATTTGTATGATCAAAGTACGTGTGTGGAAAATTATATTCCATAACAAATCTGGGAACATGCCCCATTTGTGGCTATAAACAGTATATTGTCTTTTTGCCTCAGTTCGTCGTATTTGTGATAATAGTGGAAATGCTTCTGTGTTCCTTTGATTAAAAATTCATACTGGGACCGGATTTGGAGTTGGTACACACTATCAATTCCAGGAAGTCTTGCAGGTGATAATGCTGCAAAACAAAGCAAAGAACAGCTGTTTTTTAGCCCTTTAAAGCTACTTTTATTTCAAATATGTAAGGCAGATTGGTTTTATAGTTATTTGCTTTGAAGTTAAAATTAAATTTATTCTCATTATTCTAACATATCCTAGATTGTTCCATATTCTACTCTCACACTAATAAAAACAAACATAAAATGTCTCATACTTCAATATAATCATTTCTATTATATTCTTTGCAAACTTGAAATTGTGTGCTTTAGGGGGTAACTTCTACATGTTATTTGATCTACCAAAGAATCCAAACATTTTGTTCCACACACATTAATTAGAAAGAATTCTAGACTGATCTGGGGGTCTGTGGACATCATTTATTAAATGAAAAGGAAGGTCGATAGCTTTTTTCCAAACAGCAACATCTTTAGTGTTTTTCTGTCTGACTGTTCTTTTGTGAAAACAATAGTCACTCCAAAAAAAATCACAAAAGATAAAAAGAAAATAAAAATCATCTACAATCCCACTTTCAGGTTATTGTATTAAACATTTTAAGGTATGTGTTTCTAGGCCTTTTTTCTGCATGTATAGTCATGTCAATGCAATTTAAAAAAAAAAAGTTGAAAATGATATCATTCCATGGATATGGCTTTAAAATGTACTCTCCCCTTGACAACTTTGAGATTTTCAGGGAGAAAACTGGGTAAAGTGGATTTTAGGAAGTTTCGCTTTCCCGTGTATTGAGTGGTCTCATTCTCCTTCACCACCCCATACAGGAAACTTCCGTCATAATCCATGTTACTCTTCGAATCAGTCAGGATTTGTTGGGAGGAAACAGAAGCCATGCTAGCTAGCTGTTTTAAGCAGAAAAAGATATGATTTTTTTAAAATCAGTCTTTACAAGGTTGTTGGGATGTCTAGAAGATGGGACTTGAGGCAGTTCCTCCAAAAATAAGTCTGAACCGATGAACTCGGACCGCCAGGGCAGCTGCCCCGTCCCTGTGAGCAGGAGACAGGGAATCGGAAAGCATCCACCAGAATGGCTGCTCCGTAGACGCGGCGTCCTAGCTGGCGTAGTGCGACAGGCTTGTCACTGCCACTGCTATTGGCCCGACAGCCACCCAGCATCTGCTTGATCCACCCTGGCAATGAAAGGATGCCCTGTATCCCTGTGCCTTGTTTTTCTGCTTTCATTAGGCCAGTAGGCTGTGCACAGGACGCTGCAAGACAGACAAACAGAAGTCCTCATGACTGAGCTTGCCCTTGGAAATCACAGAGATCTCCCCTGCTCACTGATGTCTTTAAAATTCCAGGTTCGTGGTTCTAATTGGAAGAGCCTAAATTGCATCGGCAACCCCAGTTCAAGGGAATCTCGGAAATTGTGGCTTTAGCTGGCCAGCCTCTGCGGTCCAGGGCAGCCCAAGCCCAGCAGTCAGAAGGCGGGAGGGGACGTGTGGCCGTGTTGTCTGCGCAGCGAGGCTGTGGGTGTCGGATGTTCGGTCCTTTAGGATGTATCACCATTCAAAGAACTTAAAGGCAGCATAAAAAGGGAAATTTTATCATAAGAGGTGACAGATAACACTGCAATTTATTTAATTCATCCCGTTGCTGTCTATTTTGTTTCCTATTTTTTCGCATAAACAGCATTTGGATACATTGCCCCTGGCAGAGTTGCTAATAGTCCCCATGCTGCTCAACCAAGTGGCCAGTTCTCAGGCTCAGTTTCCTTGACCCATCCGGACTTTTGACATGGCTACTCATTCTCTCCTTGAAACTCCCTTTTCTCTTGGTCTCCAGGGCCTCGTGCGCTCCCAGTGTTCCTTCTAGTTCACCTGCTCAGTCTGCGTGTCCTTGCTGGCGCCCCCTCATCTCTCCAGCTCTTGGGGTTGGGCACCCAGAATTCAGTCTTTCTTCTGCTCACTTATCCTTTGCTCATCTCATCCCATGTTATAGCTCTCAGTTCCCTGGACTCCACACCCATGAACCCAACAGCTGCCTGGTTAGCATGCACCTTTGGATGCTTTAAAAACATCTCACACTTATATCCCATACTGAACTTCTGTTCTTTCCCACTACATATGGGGTCTGGGAGAAGTAACGCCTGCCTTGAGTGTGGTTGGTAGGATAATAATATGGGTGTAAAAATTTGTAGTTTTAATTTGAACATTTTACCTAAAATGTCATATGGTGTGCTTGAGTGTGATATTGTTATGTTACAGAATTACATGCTTATGATTATGTAATAAAAAAAGGGAGTTATTTGTGCTGGACCCTGTGTATTCTACTTGCGGTCTTCTCCATCTCAGTTCATGGAACCTCCATCCTTCCATTTACTTGGGACACAATTTCAGGAGTCATTCCTGACTTCTTTACTTCTCCTACATTCACATTCAGTCCATCAGCAAATCTTGTTTATTCTGTCTCCAAAATATCCACAATCCAACTGCTTGTTTCCATCCCTATTGTGCCCCGCTGGTCCAAGACGTTATTTCACTCTTGGACAATTGCCCCAGCTCATCAGTGGTCTCTGTGCCCTCACCTGTGCTCAAAACAACCCAGTGAAATTCCATCTTGCTCAGGATAGCCCCGGCAGGTGATGCTCAGTTGGTTGAGCATTTTCCCTCAAAACAAAAGATTGCCAGTTCCACTCCTAGTCGGGGCACATGCCTGGGTTACGGATTTGGTCCCTGGTCAGGGGGTGTGTGAGAGGCCACTGACCCATGTTTCTCTCTCACATCGATGTTTCTCTCCTTCGCTTTCTCCCTCCCTTCTCCACTCTCTAAAAATAAATGAATAAAGTCTTTAAAAGTAATTCCGTCTTACTCAAGATAAAAGTCAAAATTCTTAAAACCAGAAGGCACTTCATGACACCTGCGCCTGTCTCTGATTTTCTTTCCTGTCATTCTCATTCTTCCTCACTTTGCTTTGGCCTCCTTGATGTTCTTTAGCACATGTCTCCCTAAGGGACTTGGCACCTGCTGGCCCCTCTGCTTGGAGTGCCCTTCTCTCCCATCGTCCTCAAGACTTTGCTGGGCCATCACCTGCTCAGTAAGACTGTCTCTGGTCACCCGACTTAAAGTTGCAAACTGACCTTCCCTGCAGCCCTCCAAATTCTCCTTCTCTTTTATTTTTTCCATAGCACCTACTACCTTCTTCTAATTAACTAAAAAAACTTCTTTCTTTTATTGTCTGCCTACCCCCTATGAGAAAAAAGGATTTTTAAATATTTTTTTATTGAATTCTCAGTGCATAGGACAGTGTGTGGGCACATTGGTGATTATTTATAAAATATTTGTTGAATGAATAAATTTCTTTATACAGGCATCATTGTGCACTGTATACTTATTTTTTGGAAATTAATTCCTAGGGTCAAAGATATGTACAGATTGCCAAGGAATGTCTTAACAATTTGTTTTTCTACCAAGACTCCCTTGGGAATGTCTTTTTTCTGGTACCCTTGCCAACATCATGCCCTGTTCACACTACCCTTTCTGTTCGTTGAACTCGGCATGGCTGTCCCCATTTGATGCATTTGCACTGACTACTCCCTCTTCCCAGAATACTCTCCTGCCACAGCATTACTTGGCATAATTCTTTTTATTCAGGTCTCACTTTAACTGCGTCCTCCTTAAAAAGGCCTTCCCTGACCTTCAGGTATGAAGTAACTTCCCAGTCACGCCTGTCTCATCACACCGTTTCGTCTTCATTATAGCAGAGCTCAATGCCATGCCATTTTTGTTGTTGCATTTGTTTGTTTGTGTTCCTTCTGTACAATGTAAGCTTCCTGAGAATAGGAGCTTCATATGTCTTTTACAACACTATCTCTAGTATATGTGTGTTTGATAACAAGATGAAATAGACATTGTGATTTCTCGTTATTACTATCTGGTGGGTGAAAGTGGACTGAACATGAATTATTTTTCAGAATTGGTAAGGCTGAACATCTTTTGACATATGAAAGGCTTTTTTTTGAATAGCAAATGCTGAGATGTTCTAGAAGTGGAACTATTCAGTTAGCCTGTTTGTTGTGATATGCTGTATCAGATTTCTTATATTGCTGATAAGTTGCAAAATTTCTTAAGTTTCTGACAGCTCCTTTCTCATTTATGCTAACACGCATATCCATAAAGTAGGATTCCTTTTGCAAATTGCACTTACACACTGTTGTGGTCTTTTTACCCCCACAGCTTTTGGAAAGAACCAACAGTGGTTTTGAAGAATCAGATTCCGGTGCTACGAAGAGTCCACTCCACTTAGCTGTAAGTGACATGCTGTGGGCAACCTTTCTTGTTACAGAAAGAACTTTAGCGCTCCTAAAACTAGGCTGCTCTTTAAGTGAGAGCATAGCAATGCAGAAATAAGTCACAGGACACGGGTAAAGGCTCCTGCTCAGAAGAGAAAGACTGTTTCAAGTTCCAATCCCCACTGCACCCACTGGTGACCCTAGATGACCTTAGATACATGACTTACCCTGTCTGAGCCTCGCTTTCTCCATCTGTAAAATGAAAGAAAAGAGATAATGTGCATAAAGCCTTTACCTCAGTGTACTTAACAAGTGAAGTTTATAAATTTTAACAAGTCTTTAAAATTCTGATCTAGTAGTTAAAGCAATAAAATGAGGAAATTCAAAGAAAATATTTCCATTTAAGACATTTGACTATAGACAATATACCAGTGTTCAAGCTACAGGTCATTAAATAGCACAGTTTTAATACTACAATTAAAATTTTGAGATATTTAAGCACAAACTTGTGAGAGCAAGATGAGCACGTTCATAATTGCAAGTGTGCTGTTTCTGCGTGGACTTGACATCGGGTCTCAGAGGAGGTCTTGGGCCGGAGGAGCCTGGGGAAAGAGGGGGAGAACAGGTATTCTGCCACCAGGAAATCTTCCCCTCCGCATCCCAGTAATTGAAGAGAAATGCTCAGAGTGACGATCAGTCCCCAGACTCTCCGTGGAGGTGACTAAGTGGGGCCAACTCGCCCACCACTCAGCCTCAGCAGCGCCCGGCCCACAGTTGACCATCAGTAGCTGTTCCGTGGGAACCTCGCTGATGGGCGGCCTCACCCAGCAGGAGCCACTCCCGTGCCCGAGGTGCTGCTGAATTGGAGCCCTCAGTCCATGACCACAGAGATGATTGGGTGCACCCAGGGACAGAATGCTGGGAAGAGTCGAAAGGGGCTGGGTCTCTGTGTTTAACTGTTATGGCGTTTCACTTACTATTATCGTGTATACATAAACACTTATTCAGTGTCATTCGGATGAAAATTTGAGATGGACATTTTGGAGCACACGTTAGCTTTCAGGCTGGGTGAGAGGGGCCACCCCACGAGGGCTGGGGTGAACCGGTCACACTGCGCTGCTCAGGGCCCCGCCCTCCACCGCGGTCTCCCCACACGTGCGCCAGCACATCTGTTGACACCCCACTCTCTGTCACACCCACCCACACACCCACTGCACACCCTGTGCACATATGCTTTGAGTCCAGTGAAATCAGGTTAAAATGTGCATAAATCTTTGTTCCTAGATATGGGGTTGGAATTGAAAATGTGGATGGGTAATGAGATACTTAATTTGTCAAAAAAATCATACCAGTTGGTTTTTAGTGTTGGTTGCTCCCCGAAATCTCTGCCCAGCCATCTGCTGCGCTCAGGAAGTCACCCCAAGGCTGCGGGCTCACAGAAGCACTGGCTGCCCCGGAGAGGCAAGGCTGAAAGGTTATCTCACATAGAACCCTGCTGGTTTTTGGAAGCGAGGTCGATTGCATCGCCAAGCCTGCTACTCATCTGAGAAGAGACTTCTTAGCTTCCAAAAATTCTATCATCTCTCATTCACTTTTTAAAAATATTATTCTTCAGTGCTTATTGTGCGCCAGGTGCTCTGCTAAACTCTATGGGTTTCCAGTCATATAAAGACAGGGCGGCAGATATCACTGGAAAGAGTTGGGCTTTGGTAGTTCTGCAGCATCCGGGGCCTAGAAAGTACATGCGGAGAGGAGGTCCCAGCCACCTGCTTTCTCATTAGCAACTCACCCGGACGTGGTTTCCCCATCTGTAAATTAAAAGGAGGGAGTTAATTAAGGATCTCCAAACCCTTTCCAGTTTGTTAATTTTTTTAATTGTTTGTTGTATGGTCTTGGCTAAGTGCCTAAGCTCTTGTGTCTCAGTTTCTTCGCCCACGATGTAGTGAGAAGAGTAGTATCACTATCATAAGGCCACGGGGGGAATGACATGAGTTAATGCACATAAGACAGCACAGTGCCTGGCACACCTGTGCAATCAGCTAGCTTCATCCTCCCTATTAGTAACGTGAATACCATTCTTTCATTTGACACATGCTGACCGTGTATGCACTGTTCCCAGGAGCCAGAGATGTTGCAATAAACAAAACCCAGCCTCTGTCCTGGGGGAGTTTCCATTCTAGGAGAGACAAGAGTCAAGTAAATATATACCATGCCAGCTGGTGACAAGTGCTGCATGTGCTGCAAGTGGGATCGGTAAGATTGAGAGCACTGAGGTGGCAGACAGGGTGCTATTTGACATAGCAGAGAATCACATTTGCACCTTAGAGCCATTCATGTTGATATCTGACAGAAGAGTGTTCTGAGCAGAAGCGCAAAGGTAAGAGCAGGCTTGGCATGTTACCAGAAGAGCAAGGACACCGCTGTAGCTGGGGAGAGTGGAGGGGGGGGTGGGCGGGCCAGGGCCTGACACGCGTGGAGGGGCGGGGCGCTATCCAGGGGCATCATGCTCTGGTGTAAGAACTTTGACTTCTGCTCTGAGCAAAATAGCAAACCATTTGGAAAAGTTTGAGAAGACAGAAGATATAAGACTTTTGTTTTAAAAGTGCCTTGTGTGTAAATTGTAAAAGAGCAAAAGCAGAAGGAAGACAACCAGGCAAACAATGGTGACAATGATTTTGACCGGGATGATTGCAGTGGGTCAACTCCAAAACTATTTTATTCTTGCCCTCTTGATGCTGACCCTTTAAAAATTTTTTTATTTGCTTCAAGAACTCCACAAATATGCCCATCGCCCTCTCCAGGGACCTCTGTAGCAATTAACTTAATAAAAACCCAAGGCACATTATTTCTTCGGTGGAGGCATTCTAGCACTAACATGGAACCAGGTGCCCTCAAACTTGACTGCCACACATACCTGACCTGCCTTGCGTTACCGTTTCCTGGCTGAATGATTCAAGTCTCCAGGGATATCAGCCCAGTGAATTTCATAAGCATTTTCAACCACTTGAAAAAATTAAACCAAGAAACAGGGCTATGCAAATGAAGGGCTCCAGCTGTCGAGATTTCCAGATGGATCCATTGTTTCATGCATTCTGTTGAGATCCCAAATTCCTTCTCCTCATTGCTTTCAGTTCCTGTCTAAAAAAGGTCAAAGAAATTAATCACATTTTAAAAATATTCATTACCTAATGAGATTGAAGGTATTTTGTAAAACAAATTTAAGATGTTTGCTCCCTCCAGCAAAGGCTTAAACTGGGTTGTCTATTGAAAGCCACAATATGACATGTCCTATGAACCAGCATATTTGGTTGTGTGTGTGTGTGTGTGTGTGTGTGTGTGTGTTACTCCCTCCTTTAGTTATTTCAGAAATTATTTGTAGAATTACCAACTAAATACCTGGTTTAAGTTGGGAATAGAAAGAAAAATAGGACATTTTTCATCATGTACGGCTGACATGAAAAGGTTTCCTTTCCTGGCTACTTGAGTCTTTTTCAGGAAACTTAAAACTTTATTGTATACTTTTTAAATGTACTCCAAAAGCCATATAACTGCCTACAGACAGAATCATGCACTTAACCATAAAATGGAATTCCATATTATATGGTATTTTTAAATAGGGTTAAGCTATGAAGTGTGAAGGTAAATGAAAATTCTTGTATAATCAAAGTTACCTTTATTATTCCCCTTCTATTGCCCTTCAAGGTTAGTACATAATTGTGTGTCTTCAATTCTGTATTGTAGTCCATATGCATACTAAAATTCAAGAGCTGCAAAGTAGACCCGCAATTTTCAACCTCTTTCCTCTCATGGCACACATAAACTAATTACTAAAATTCTGGGGCACACCCAGACATAAATTTTTTTGCTAATCTGACCAAAAAAATAGGTATAATTTTGATTCATTCACACCAGATGACTATTGTTTTTGTTGTCTATTGTCTTTTTTTTTTTTTTTTATTTGACAACCTAAGGAAAAAGAGGTCAGTGCCCCTGACTAAATAGTCAGGTATTGCATGGTTTAAAGATCCTTGTGGCACGCCAGTTGGAAATCACTGAACTAGACTAAAGGAAGAAACAAGAAGGATTCTCTAGGTCTATCTGGACTTTCTACCATTCAATCTTTAAGAGAATTCTCAAGCACCTAGTACAGAAGAAAGTCTGGATTAGAATTCTGAAGCTTTTCTAATTACCAGCAGGGTTCACTCTGTTTTATTTTGATATGAAGCCTCTTTAACTGTAACACATGCTAGTGGATTGATCTTTGTTGGCAGGTCGAAGGGAGAACGTGCAGGGGTCCTTTAGAGGAGGTCCGCTCTTAAGTGAGCGCCGCCCTTCAGTGCCCTGCAGTGTGGCTCCGCTGTGCGGAGCAGCGCTGGCGCCTGCGCGTCCGCTCCCTTCCTGAGCACGTTTCTCTCTCCCCTGTGAGTCTTCTCCTTATTAAATCTAAGTGTGTTAGCTATCGTGCTTTGTAGATGTACATGAAATTTATAAGTTGCCAATTTTCCTGGGCTGTCGTATCGACAGGAATTAAAATGTTTGCCGTTTTTGTCACCATAGTAACTGGCACGGAAGAACCGCCATTTGCAGATAGCCTCTAGAACCTGCTTATCTATGTTATCTACGTGGAGCCATTTCCCCTTGGTGCGGAGTCAGGATTTCTACGCAAGCTGAGTCAGTTACTACCATTACAGTTGAAAGTGAGAGGAAATGTTATGCAAAGTCAGTTTTCAAATAAGCCACATACTCAAGCCCAGGTGAGATCGGCAGATTTACATCCTGATGTAGGTGCTCATGGTGCCACAGCCCTTTACAGAGGGCAGGTGCTCTGGAGTTGCCTTGAAGATCACCCGTGGCCGGAGTTGATAATGACTGAGACTAGGTGAAGAGTATATGGGAATTCATTACATTATCCCGTCGTCTTTGTCTAAGTGGGAAATGTCAATAACAAAAAGCTAAAGAAACATATCCCTTTTGCTCTTGTTGCTCCCTTTCCATTGGAGCTCATGAAAAGGCCATAGCTCAGGATCTGGGTTCTGAGTGGTCTGCCCTCAAATCCCAGCTCCACCAAGTGAGGCCGTGTGACCATGGGGGAGGGGCCTCTCCCCTTCTATGTCCTCATGGGTAAAATGGAGATAACAATAGTATCCAAACCATGAGTTGCTGTGACAATTAAACAAAGTGCTACACATCTAGTACTGCCTGACACAGAGCAAACACTCAACCAAAGCTACCGCTTCAGAATTTAGGTTAAAAATTTGCGATCCTATGTGGTTATGGTTTGCATAGCAAGTACAGATCAGAAAGGTAGTACAGGAAGTTATTTTTCTGTCTCAAGAAAGGCAGTGTGTATAGTATAAGGTCAATTGTAGTATAAGGTCAATTATACTGCACACACTGTCTAGAAGTTAGCCCAGATTAAACCTTCTCGCTTCATAGCTTATTTACTTCCCTTTAAGCCTTCTAGAGAAGGGGTTTGGGTTTCTGATTTGGTATTTGTTAATCTGCTCTCTCTGCCATTACACACAGGGACAAAAGTATTTTGTTTGAAAGTCCATTAAATGGAATTACTGGGAAAAATGATAACACATTAGCTAAAAGCATAGATGTTGGTATTCATAGATTCTGGGTTTCAAATCCTAATTTGTCATTTACTGGCTAAGTGATCTTGGATAAATCAATTTACATTGCTTGTTTTGTTTTTTTCATCTATAAAAATGGAATTTGCAAAGATTAAATCAGATGCTAAAGTTAGAGTGCTCAGCACAGTGCCCTCAATAAATAGATGCTATTTAAGTAACATATTCCTACCACTAATACTAATAAATGATAGTAAGTCATTATATACATTCATTTATTCTTCAAATAATTGTCGAGTGTCTACTATGTGCCAGGCATGATTCTAGAATATAGCAGTAAACAACACACAGAAAATGCCTATAGTCATACATAATAAATAAATCAATAGATATATAACAGATAGCAAGGGTAATATGTGCTATGAACGGATGTGCAGTAGCACACTATAATATGTAAATAACCTCACATGCATAGATAATTGTAAGGTATAATAAAATAATTAGGAAGCGATGTGTTTCAAATACGTACTATCTTTTTTTTTGCTTTTTATTAAGTTATAATTGACATATATTGTGTTAGTTTCAGGTGTGCAGCATGGAGGTCTGGTATTTGCATATACTGCAAAATAATCAGCACAATAAGTCTGTTAATATCCATCCCCATACATAATTACAAATTCTTTTGTTGTGATGTGAACTTTTACTACCTTTGTTTTTAATATAATGTATTTTAAAAAAATTTCAAGTGCTATGAAGGTAAACCAGGACCAGGGTGGCGGAGAGTGTCTGGGAGTGTGTCGAGGTGGAGGAGGCTGGAAGGCTGTTTCCTAGAGGCTGCTCTGGGAAGCCCCCAGATGAGGTGCTGTTTGAAGCAGAAGTACCAGGAAAGCCACGTGGCTGTCTGGGGAAAAGCCTTCCAGGCAGAGGAAGCACAGTACAGGTGCAAGGGCCCAGAGGAGGAAATGCAGGTATTTAACCACAGTGGGGGATAGTGTGGCTAGAACAGGGTCAGTGCGGGGGTGTGCTGGCGATCAGGGTAGAGGGAAGCCAAATCCTAAGGGCCCAGATGGTCCTGGAAAGTTTCTAAATTTATGATCCATAAGGGAAGAAGCCACAGGCTGGTTTCCCTCAAGGAGTGGTATACCAACTTGGTATTAGAAGATTTCATCTGATGGCTGTGTCGACCACAGGTTGCAGGGGTCACGGATGGAAAGGGAAGCATGGGTCATCATTCGGGAAAAAGAGGTGGGTGGTCTAGTGAGAACTGGAGAGATTCTGGATATATTTTAAAGAAAGAATAGCAATGATTGTGGCTTGAAAGTGGAGATAGATGATCATGGCGTTGAGAGCTGGTCCTAGTCACACAGCTACCTATGGGAATTAGAAAAGGGATACGGGTGGATGTTCTCCTGCCAGACGCTAGAGAACCTGATGGCGTCTCTGTGTGGTTAGCAAAAGGTGTCCCTTCCTTTCAGAAGGCACATCTCTGTCCCAGGCATGGCAAGGTTGGTGAGGGGGAGTGAAGGGGCAGAGAGGCTATCGTTCGGCACTATTTGCTCTAGTGTCCCGGAGCCCTTGTGCAGAACTACAACCCCAGGATTAGGAGTGAAGATAAAGATGACCCCAAAGGTTTGAGCCTGAGCAACTAGAAGAATAAAGTTGGCATTCACTGAGATGGGGAAGGCCACAGGTGGAGCAGGTGTTGGGACTGAAATTAAGATACATTCTGGGACATGTTCGACGTAAGATGCATACTAGACATGTAAGTGGAAATATCAATAGGCAGTTGAACATACAAGTCTAGAAGGAAAAGGAGAAGTTGGGACTGGGATAAATTTTTGGATTCATCAGTATATGAGTTCATGTTTTTTAATATATATATTTAATGCATAACATAATAACCATAATCATTCACAAAAATAATGTAATAAGAAAGTTTTAAAACACCTATCAGTACTTTTAATTTTTTTAATCTTTGTTATTCTTGTTAATATATACTCAGAAGAAAAAATGCAAATGATTTTTAAAAAGATAAGGTTAAAAAAAGTCCATTTGTTCATTACTTTACTTCTCACTTCAGGAGATTAATAGTTTCCCTTGAAATTTTCTAAAATTCACTATAAATTTCAAAATATACATACATGTATAGATAGTTTATATCTGGATTATTTGCTTTTTTGTATAAATGAGGTCATGCTATATGTACTGTTTGACACTTAGGTTTTTTAAAATAGATTTTGTCAAATCGCTCTCCACAAATGCCACACCAATCTATATTCCCACCGACAGAGTGTAAGGTTGCTTTTTTTCACTGTTCTTAACTAATACTGGACATGACTAAACTTAATCATTGCCAATCTGTAGTTAAAAAATAGTACCATAACAGTATACATTTTAAAAATATGTTTATTGACCTTTTATATTTCTTTTTCTGCCAGCTGCCTTTTTATGCCCTTTGCATATTTTTCTAGTTTTTAAAATGGCTTGTAAGAGCTTTTTGTGTATTAAGGAAATTAGTCTTTTTCTGTGGTAAACATCTTTTCAAATTAATTGTACCTTGAGTAATCACCACAATAGAAAAATAAAAAGTGCAGGAGGCAAAAGAGGAGACTTTGGCTGATGAAGACACTGGGGACAGGCTTCTCCTCCACTTCCTTCTTTCCTTTTCTTCCTCCTCCTATTCCCTTCTCTCTCTATTCTTAACCTTTTCTTTCCTTTATTTCAATGTCCTTTATCTTATGCACATATATATATATTTTACCTTATATGTTTAATAAAAATCATCTTTCAAACTTTTGATTTTTTTTTTAGTAGTATGAAGGCTCTAAACCTTAACATGGCATAGGACCCCAGAATAAGTCTGAACTTGGCACTGGTACATAGAACATATTTCCATACTTTTTTCCTATGTTTTTATTATAATCAGTGAAAGAAGTAAAGAAGAGAGCAGGAAGCATCAAGTATGTACAAGATATTATACAAAGCCTGTACAGTTTTATCTCTTTTCATTTTCCCTGGGTGGCACCTTTTATTGCTCTCATTTTACGGATGAAGAAACAAACTAAGTGAAATTAAGAAACTTACCCATGGTCACATGGTTAGAAATTAAAATGTTGTACTCTAACAAGGTCTATATGCCTCTATTGAATTATGAAGTCCACATGTACTTAGTAACTTTTTTTTCTCTAGATTGAACAGAAAAGTGTCCTGAAAAATATTCATGTCAATTATGTTTAGGACTGAACTGATAGATATAAGAACATATTGACTCGTTCAACTACTAATCTATATTAGACTAGTAGATTGATAGTATAAATATAAGACTACATTGATACATGTAGTGCCTTTGGGGCAAATTATGTAGCAAAAGAGAAAGGACATGAAGGAATTCATACACACACACACACACACACACACACACACACACACACACACACGAGGTCTGTCCAGAAAAAGGCCAGCCATTGTTAATATAATGAGAATAGTTTGCACAACATTGATGTAACCTGGCAGCCAAGGAGAGTGGACTGGAATGTGTGTGAGTGAAGAATGACAACTTCACTGTACTAGTCAGTGAGGGCAGTAGACGCTGTTGAGTGAGCATGTATACTATGTGGCCGTCACATTCAAAATGACTGAGCAAGTAGAACAATGAAGCTGCATCAAATTTTGCATTACGCTTGAACATTCCTCGGTGGAAACTATTTGGATGATTAAGAAGGCTGCAGCTATGGGCAGCTGGTAATTGGCAGCTTCCTCACAACAAGACGCCCACTCATGCATCACATCTTGTGCAGAGCTTTTGGCAAAACATCAAATCACCCAAGTGATTCAGCCCCCCTACAGCCCAGATTTGGCACCCTGCAACTTCTGGCTTTTCCCAAAATTAAAATCACTTTTTAAAAGGGAAGAGATTTCGACTGTCAGTGAGATTCAGGAAAATATGATAGGGCAGCTGATGGCGATTGGGAACACTGTGTGAAATCACAAGATGCTTTGAAGGGGACTGAGGCATCATTCTCCTATGTACAGTGTTTCTTGTATCTTGTGTCTTCAGTAAATGTCTCTGTTTTTCATATTACATGGCTGGATATCTTCTGGATAGGTCTCATATAACTGTGAGTTTCATGTATTATGATTTTCCAGTCTAACTCTTTGGTTTCCTGCATTTCCATAATAATCCCAAGTGTCTTTCTGACATGCTCCTTGCTGTGGTCTCTGTCTGTGACCTTGGAAGCTTTGGATAGTTTTGGGGTCGGAGGTGAGCAAACATTTGTGTCATTGGTTTCTTCTTGGCAGGCCTACAATGGGCACCATCAAGCCTTGGAAGTCCTTCTGCAGTCACTGGTGGACCTGGACATCAGGGATGAGAAAGGCCGCACTGCCCTGGACCTGGCTGCCTTTAAGGGACACACAGAATGTGTGGAAGCACTTATCAATCAGGGTGCATCCATCTTTGTGAAAGACAATGTAACCAAAAGAACCCCACTTCATGCCTCAGGTAGGTATTGTCAAAAGTCTGGTTACCCTAGTTTTGTGGCCCACTGAGGTTTCAGTAAAAGAAGGGCAGCATCTCCTTTTATCCCAATTTTTTAAAAAAATTTTTTTCTACACAAGATATGCCTACACTCTTCCAAAATGCTTGGCTTGCCATCCACTTTGAGAAGATTGGTGTACTCTGGCCAAATGGGCTCTAGCCCTCTTCTTTAGAGACTTAATTTTTTTTAAAGCAGTTGTAGGTTCACAAGAAAATTGAAAGGAAGGTACAGAGGTTTCCCATACATCCTCTGACCCCCAATTGCATAGCCTCACCCATTATCAACATCCCCACGAGAGTGGTACTTACATTACAATGATGAAACTACATTGACACATCATAATCACCCCAAGTCCATAGTTTACTTTAGGGTTCACTCTTGATGTTGTACATTCTGTGAATTTAGACAAATTTATAATAACATGTGTACATTATTACAGTATCGTACAGAGTAAAATACTATAAATCCAGCTCCAAAAATCCTCTGTGCTCCATTTGGTCTCCTTCTTAACTCAGGAGAAAGTTTAGAATCTTTGGCCAATAGCCATCACAAAAGTTTCTGGAAAAAAGGGGAAGGTCTAATGTGATCTTCAGATAAGTTGCGTAGAACAAAATCACACAGCATTTTAAAGCATAAAATTCATGATATTTCATGGCCATTTCATAAAAGGAGTCATCAGGCAGCAGTCTGATCAGCACATCCTTCTGCCAGCCTAAATGATGCTTCTTAGCTGTTGCTCTGAATATTGATGCATCAAGTGTAAATATAGAGACTCTTAAATAAAGTGCTCATATATATCAAAAAGTAAGTAATTTGCCTTTTCTGCAATTTTTCTCTAGTATACATAAAACTGTATCAAGACACTGCTAGATATATACATAGATATAAAGGGAATGCGGAGAGTCTCTAGCTCAGCTAAGGTATAAATTTCTTTGGAATCAGGAATTAAATGAAATCTGCCTTTGATCAGGATAGTAAATATTGTCTCATAATGAAAAATAACTGTCTTACCCAATTAAATTATACTGAGGAAGCAAAGGAGTGAAGACTTTCAGAAGACTTAATGATATTGTTACTTGGAAGAATTTTTTCAGAATGTTAGGCGTTGTAGAAGTATTTCCATCCACATCCCTGAATTTCCAAACCGCTGAAGAAAAACAATATGGAAATAGGAAAACCATGGCTGTTGCCTAATTATCTGGAAATCATTATCCCTGGAAAAACTTTAGGTCATGAGGTCAGCAGTAGTTGGCATGGTTAAACTATAAATTCTTATTTCCTCAAGCATTTAGTCTTTTTGGTATTATTATAAAGTATTACAAAGTTTGATATTCTAGACAGCCTTAGTATTCTAAAGTTCAAATTTAGTTCTTTTTAAATATTGGTTGCCTATTATTAAGGCAGGCATCCTGCTTTAATTATCGGGCACTTCCTCATAACTACAAATGGCCTATTTTCATTACGGAAAATTGCTCTTGTAGACAGGTAAACAGTGAAAAATAATCATTGTCACTTATTTGCCATTGTATAGGTTATGGTCCAATGGGGCCCCCTAGTGGTCAAGAAGACCCAGTCCTTTTGGATTTCCCATATGTGGTCCATGTAGTAACACAAGCTATCTATCATTTGACTCTGTTTTCCACAAAATGTCCGCTGCGTGGAAACTTCAGCCTGTGCTTGGAGAACCTGCTTATTCGGAATCTTTTCCAACTCACTGGAAAGGCCAACTTTTTTGTTATTTCAAATCCTGGGAATCCTGCAAGGAGCAGGAGCCAGCATGGATATTAGAGGTTCTGGCACAGCTCCTTGCAGTGACAGTTGTGGTCTTTGAGCAGCCTGAAAAATGGCTGTCACTCATAGCCAGGGGTGGCTGAGTCACTAAGACAGAGCTGGACTTGGCAGAGCACAGCAAAGGAGATGTTAGCTTCTCTTTGCTAGAAGGCAATTGGGAAAAATGCAGTGTGTAGGAAGCCAACAAGAATTCTAGTTTGGCTACACTTTTACAGTAAGTGGGGCTTACATTTATCTGAGGGCTATAAGCTTAGTTCAAAAAGCTGCAGTACACTTCTCCCACCACCCCCTACGCTACACACACACACACACACACACACACACACACGCACACACACACCACGGTAGAAATTGATTTGCTCTTTAACACACTGGGTCAGTGATGTGAGCTTAGATGAGTTTTTCCCCTTTATTTAGTCAAAGATCAAATATCCTTGGCACTATTATGATTATGAGCATGTAAAGAATGTCAGATTGATACATAAGGAGACATCAATCAAACTCCCCTGTGCCTCCCTCCATTTTATGTGAACCCATTGCCTGTAGCTCTCAGCTGCCAGTCCCCTGCTAATCATTTCCTTTCACGCATACACTAAACTACTTGCCTGTAGTAGTTACCAGTGGTAACAGACTTTGTGTACTATTTAAAACAAACAAACAAATGAACAAAAAAACAACAGCAACAACAATATACTGCTTGTATTCCAAGTCCCAAAAATTTCCTCCTGAGATACATAGACGGGATGTTCCTGGCAATGAGCTGAAGGCAATGGTCTACAAAATGTGGGCATTATTCCTGTAGTTAATTTGAGTGGTGTCGATGAATGTGAGCTAATTCTAATATGTATTGTTCCTGGAAAATGTGTCATTGTTAAATTAGCATTCTCTCATGATTGGCATGCAATAAAAGGGACTGTAAGATGCAGCTCTTAGAAGAGCCTTCATTAACCTCACATAGCTGCATCTATTCCTTTCTCTCTCCCCATCCATAATGAGGTAAATACAATGCATTTTATAGTGTTCTCATTGTTCAGAGAGGAGAGGTCACATTTGGAAGGTCTATTTTAAGGCTGTGGGTTGCATTAAACAAACTGAAGGCAGTCGCTACCCACCCACGCACCCCCAGCCCGCCTGAAATTGTCATCCTAGGAGGTTTGCTTCCCAGCACCAAAAGCACCCACTGCTAAAAGGGACATTGTGCCTGGTGTGCACAAGGGCGCATCCTTGAATTGCGCCCTCACTGGCCAAGGACAACAACCGTGTTCTGGCTGCATCTCTCGCCCATTGCCAGCCCCCATTATGTCCACTGGCTGATTAGGAGTGAGGACCCCGCAGCGCCTGGGGAGCGTGAGGAGCCTCCGGAATCAGAGCTCTCTGCAGGGGAATAGATGGGAGGGCAGGGGACTGAGGGGCTCCGTGGGGTGTGAGGCCAATGGAGAGCCAACTTGCCTGCCCCCTCTGCCCAGCATGCTTGAGACAGGGAGCCCCTCCAGGCTGTCAGTCAATGAACAATGAGTTGATGGCTTCTGTATACCTTCCCAGCTTGAGGCTTTGCTTTAAGTCACCACTAATCCATCGGAATTGTTACGCCAAAGTCTACCTCAGAATTTACAATGACTGAGGGAAACCAAGGCAGGACCTGTTCTCTCTGTTCCTCCCCTCTTCTCTCTTCTCTCCTCCTCCCTTCTGCTTCACCCCTCTCCTCTCTCCTCCTGAAATCCTATTCCTGCTCCCCTCTTCTCTCTCCTCTGCCTTCTCCACCTTCTCCTGCCCACTCTTCCTTCTTTTTAAAAAGACCTGAAGGCAAGCTGGACAGGAATTATATGGTACTGGGTGACTCAGAGGAAGAAAAAAGATAACTAGAAAGTGGGGAGGAATTATCTGTTTCATTCAAGGAGATTTTTTTTTTTAATGGAAAAATAACCTTTAGTATTTGAACCAGGGAAAAGTGAGGTAAGGACCAACGTGCCCCGATAGGAAGGAGAGGCTGGATTAGTAAACACTGGAGCTCACTGTGCCCGGCAGCGAGCATGAACTGGAAACCTGGGGATATCTGTCGGCAACAATTGAAAACGAATGATTTGAAGTCCACATAAATTTCACTTTGAAGGGATATGTATGATAGTGTCGGTCTGTTAAAAAGAATGTCCATTATTTTCTTTTTCAGTAATTAATGGTCACACACTGTGTTTGCGGCTGTTACTAGAAATTGCAGACAACCCAGAAGCGGTTGATGTGAAAGATGCCAAAGGACAGTAAGTGTTCTCACACTTGGCCTGGGGCTGACATTTCAGTCACAGCAGGTGACTGGTTAATTTGTTAAGCAGCTGGGGGGGGGTGCTGAATTTTACATTGGGGGTAGGTGTATGTTTGCGTGAAATTCATGGATGAGAACCCTAGAATAATGAGGTAAGTTTGTGCTAGACTATAAATATCCAAGAAACGTATGTAGGCTGTTGTGTGTGTTTGTGTCTTGATGAAAAAGAGCCAACTATTTATGTCTGTGGCCATGTATCCTGGCCTTCAAAAACAGTCCTCCTTTGTTCCTTCTTTCTATCCATTTTACCCTCTTTTGAAGGTGCTGCATTCCCATTGTAAAATTAGTAATGGCAATGACTGCAAGAAGCTATCTTGATCATAAAAATCCTTCCTATTTTTATCCTTCCTTGGGTTTGTTTTTCCAAAGTTTTTTCCACCTGCTAGCCCACCCCTACACCCAATCTTCTCTTACAAATAGGATATGCAGAGCCAAAAAAGCTCTAGTGACTCAACGCCAGATATGTGAGCTAGTGCTGAAGTCAGAACTAGCACCCCTCCCCCATCCTGGATTCCAGCACTGTTCTTTCGTCTAGATTTGTCAGACTTTTCTTTAAGGCAATAAAGCTTTGTTCAAATGAAAGACTGAACAAACGCCAACATAGAAAACTATGAAAGTGGAACTACTCTAACGGAAGCAAGAGGGTCCCTTACATACGCACACTCTGTACTCAATTGATATTTAGTAAATGCTATGCAGTTTTGAAAATGATGGGATTAAAATGAACGTCTTGAAGGAATCTTTCCCTGCCCCACCCATATTAATCATTCCACTGATACCATTCCATGTGGCTGTTAAACACAAGAGGCAGATTGCTTATTCCAAATAGCACACAACACATTATGGTCACTTGAAATATAAAGCAACTCTCAAGAAAAAGAGAGAGAGAGAGAGATGCAAAGACAAAGTGACAGAGAGACAGAGAGACAAAGAGAAGGAGGTCCTCCCACTGAAAGTGATGAGGTGTTTTTTTTAAAAAAATCTTCTTAAAAGCCTAATTCATCTCTCTCCCTAGAACCCCACTGATGCTTGCGGTAGCATATGGACACATTGATGCTGTTTCATTGTTACTTGAAAAGGAAGCAAATGTGGATGCTGTTGACATCATGGGATGTACAGCTTTACACAGAGGGGTATGTACGCCTTCCTCAGCTTTACTCTGCTAGCGGCTTTGTAGTTAGCATGTTTTCTCTTTTCTTCCCCATAGGAATTTTTAGTAAAACAATTGTTTCCTAAGATAGCCAATTAACCTCAGTCAGACTAAAAGAAATTATACAATCTTATGCAAAAAGTAAGATAATGGCAGGTATTTTTAGGTCCTGTTCTTGAGATTTCATATTAGATCGTGATAATAAATACATGAACTCCTACTGTTGATAGAATTGGTTCTGCTTTCTGATTACAAAATACTTACACATCATAGAAACTTTGCAAAAAACATTTTTTTAAGCACAAAGAAGAAAATCCCAATCCGCAGTAATCCTTCCTCCTGGAGAAAAAAAATACTTTTTGGCTTATATAACCAGTCTTTTTTTTTTCAGTATATAGGTTCATTTTAATTGCTTTAAAAAAGAGAATACTGAAGATACTATTTCAAACTGACTTTTTTTCTTTTAAAATATCAAGAACCTTTTTCCGTATGAGTGAATATTCTCCCGCTACATTATATTTAATGGCCCATTGTGTTCAGGTGTCATAATTTATTCCATTGATTACAGAGTTTTGAGTAATCATGCTATTCTAATTGCTCTTTACTAAAAATGTTGACCCATTCCCCACCTGAAATGTGTATCCTGCTCAAATATGTATCCTGTGGACAATTCTCTACATATTCTGCTGAATTATTTTTTTAAAGTGTATTGAGGAAACTAAAATCAAACAAAAGCAGAAATAAAAGTGCTATTTGGGTCTGGTACTGAACACCACAGTCAACGAAAAGAAGAGGAACTCCAAGTAGTCAAAGTCATAATCCTAATTCTTATTTCTTGGGTACTTCCTGTGGGCCACGCAGCAGGCTGTGGGCCTCTACCTGTCTTACCTCGTTAGTCCTCACAACAGCCCGTGGGGTCATTATTACTATTCCCATTTACAGGTAAGTGAAATGAGACACAGAGAGGTGAATTGACTTGTCCAAGTCTTACCAGGGGAAGCCAGGATTAACTCACATCTTCCTGATTCTAAAGCTTTTTTTCACTACATTGTGATGCCTTTCACAGTTATGTTTAGAGAGCCAAGAGATGTTTCCAAAATGCAGATGTTCACTTGGTCTTTTTTGATATGAATCTTGCTGGGTTGTCCTGCCTCTCTCCTCTGAGGCGGGGCAGGGTTTACGCTGCTGAAGGCCCAGGTATTCACGCCCTCTTCCTCTGAGCCCATCCTCACCGAGCCGCCTGCTTCACTTCCTGAGTCCTCTGCCCTTCCGAAATTTGTTTTTGTTTTTAATTGCACTGTATCAGATTATGACGGGACATGAGGAATGTGTGCAAATGCTGCTGGAACAAGAAGTGTCGATTCTCTGCAAAGATTCCAGAGGAAGGACACCCTTGCATTATGCAGCTGCTCGTGGCCACGCCACGTGGCTGAGCGAGCTGCTCCAGATGGCACTTTCGGAGGAAGACTGTTCTTTCAAAGATAACCAGGGCTACACGCCGCTGCACTGGGCTTGTTACAATGGTGAGTTCATTGTCATTTGACTGATTCCAGTGGTCTTCCTGCCCCCACACTTCTGTGATCTCAGTGGAGGTGAGACCATAGCATAATGTTGTAAACCATGACTTCCAATCTTTCTGCATCCAGAATACCTTTTGTTTAGTATTTTTCCCTTCTTGGCTACCATGATGCCTTAATGGAATAAAAATTCACTTTCTCCCTTTTTGTTAATTAGTAACATATAACTCCTAATCTGAATTTCCAGTGAACTAAAATAAGTTGTAATTAGGGTTTCTGATCTACATCATGTAACCAGGGATCCTACAATGTTTGAAATAATACAGCTAAAATTTTAAAAAAATTATATAACAACCTGTCACAATTGACTGCTACTCAGATTACTAGATGAATGGTTTGTTTTTCGGCATCATTCTTTTAGCATGATAGAATTAGCATGTCATTTCTTTTTCATGTCTCTTTTCTCCCATTTATTTTGCTTGCACTCGTAATTCAGAAGATTTAAAAATTTTTATTTTACTTATCTGAGTAAAAAAAAAAGCATGCTAATCATAACACTTCAAAAATTGTCTCCATTTCCAAACTCACTCTCTGATGTAATTTAGCACGTACTTTTAATACTTTTCCTTTGTAAATAAAAATAAATACAAATATATGTGCATCTGTTTTTAAACCAGAATCATATAACAACTATCATTATTTAACTTTCTTTTTTGCTGTTGTTTACTTAACATATTGCCTAATGGTGCCACACAGGTATACTAGCCACCGTAATAAGAAGGTGCCTTCAGACAGAAGAACAGTGCGGGCAACTCCATAGAATATAACAGAAATTATTATAGGGTAATTACCTTACAGGGATGTAGGGGCAGAGTGAACAGGCGAGCCACCACTCTGTGCAGATTATTCTCCACAGGCAAACCTCTGTTACAGTACTTATTAAAAATGGTATAACTCAGGTACTAATGATTGATAGGCAAAGGGACAAAGAATCCAGTACACTCCAGGGGCCGGACCTCCTGGTGGTCTTGTGATGGAGACCGGTGTGTAATCAATATTATCACCAGTTTAATATTTGTCTTGGTTGTCATGTCATTTTGGCCGTTACTAACAAAAAATGTTTATGGTAAATTTTATGGAACACAGATAATCATCAACTAGAAGGCTTTGATATGCTTGTTAAGGACGGTGAGGTTGATCAAAGGTCACAGCATAAAAGAAATTCAGGACACAGAGATGGAGTTAGTTTTGTTCACATCTATACACACTGAGTTGCAGATATCCTTTTAAGTTATTATGTATCAGTATTGATTGATCTTCTTACTAGTGGTATGTTTCATGGCAGATAAATAGTTATAGATGAATATGTATATCAGAATGTATTATTTTTTTCAACCAAGTCCCTACTGATGGACATTCAGATTGTTTTCAGGTTTTTTCCTATTATAGATGTGTATATTCATTTATGTACCTTACAGTGTGTATATTCATATTATGTACCTTAAATTCTGTCAGGTAAGTTTGCAAAAGTGAAATTATTGATAAGAGAACATGTGTGTTTTCTAATTTTAATACATTATACTATGTACTTTGCAAAAAGGATGTAACTTATTACTCCACCAAACGTGTATAGAACTTGTATTTCCCAAACCTCTGCCAACCCAGGATGGTATCATCTTTCCCGGTTTTGGGAATTTGGAGGGCAAAAAAGGTTATCTCATTATTTTATTTTGTATTTCCCTGTCTAATAGCATATTTATTTGTATTTCCTCTTCTGGCAATTATCTTTTCCATCTGTTGCTTCTTTTTTATTGAGTTTTATCTTTTCTCACACATTGGTTGGAGCACCATGTCTTAGAGATATGGATCCTCTCTGTGTTACATGTCTCAAATGTTTTCTCTCAGTCTGTAATTTATCTTTGTTCCTTGTTTATGATGTCTTTTTCCATGCAGAAACTTTGAACTGGTGTGTAGTTTAATCTGTCATATTTTTATTTTATGGGATCTTGGTTTCCACTTTTGCTTAAGGTCTCCCACCCCTAAGTTTATATGGATATTTTCCCATATATTTCCTACTCTGCTTCTATAATTTTATTTTTCCATTTTCATTTCTTGTATTAAAATTTTCACTCAGGAACTATGATTGCTAGGTCCAGGAAGACTTTTGGGGGTGCCCTACTTTAAGACACTTCATTTCATTTTCATTAGTCCTCCTTTTTTCATTGGCTCCAGTCTCAGTAAGAGCCAACTTTTCTACTTGCTCAACTTGGTTTTGTTCCCTCTCTGCCACACTGGAGAATTGCAATTTTTAACTAACTGATGGGGCAAGCTCTGAGATCCATCTGGCAGGATGGGGAAGATGCATTGGTTTTAGTGGCAGGTGGCAAACCCACCAGAACACATCCTCTCCCCTGGAGTGGGGGCAGGTGCGGTGGGATGGCAGGTCCCTGTTCTTAGGCCTCTCCAGGAGCAAGCAGGGGAAGAGGAACAGGTCTCTCCTAGGCAATTTTAATGCAGTCTTCTTCCCAGAATCCCCTACACTGAGCACTTTGAAATATTGAAAGTCATTCAAGGATCCCCAGTCCTACCTACAGAGACCCTAAGATTGGGATTCATATAGTCTCCAAGAGATAGTTTGTATAGATGCTTCCCTGAGCTAAATCTTGGGGGGGGGGGCGCGGTAATCATTCTAATTGAGGGTTGGATATAGCTGGAAAGCTAAACAATATAAGCATAAATTTAGGAGATTTTTATATTCATTACTCAATACATTTTTTAAGTCTCCTAAAAGCAGTCTTACTTTTTCTCTTTATAGGTAAAAGAAAGGTTTGGTTTTTGTTTTCATACTTAAAATAATCTGATACAAATCATTCTAAGGTAGAACATAAAAGAATTCTAAGTAATTTAGTACTGAGTTCATCCAGGAAGATGTTGCAGGACAACAGTCTATATTTTAAAGCCAAGTAGCTTTGCCTTCTTGCCTTAATAATCATCCATCACTTCACAAGTCATGTTCAGGTACTTCATTGAGTAAAACTCCCATCATCTTGGGGCATCAGTAGGGCAAGTATCCCTAGTCTGATTTGTTTTAATTGATTCCAGAGAGAGAGGAAGGGAGGGAGAAAGAGAGGGAGAGAAATATCAATGTGAAACATTGATCAGTTGCCTCTTGCACATGCTCCGACTGAGGCCAGACCCACAACACAGGTGTGTGCCCTGATCAGGAATTGAACCTGCGACCTTTGGTTTGTGGGACGCCACACCAGCCAGGGCTAGTTTGATTTTTTATATATGAGAAGTTGAGGCTCATAAATCCCAAGTGAGTTGCCTTAGTTCCCATAACAAGTAAACTAACAGATCTGAGGCCTTACTTAAAATTCGGTTGATTTGGAAACTACTTGTCATTTGTTTAAAATAATGTCTTACTTTCATTCTTCTACTTATTTTTAAAAAATACTTATCGGGCATATATTATTTACCAAGAATTGTTTGTGGTGCCATTTATGGAGTATTTTATAGTCAAAGCCTTTTTACCTGCATTATCTCAGATATTATTTTCTACCAATCACATCTTCTCCTCTTCACTAGGGCACATAATTATAAGTGAACCTATTCATTTGGGTGAAAGGGAAATTTCTGATTGTAAATATGAGCAAACTGAGGAATAGTAGGCATCTATCAAGAATTGAGCATATTATTGAATCTATTCTGACTGCAAATGAAGTCTCTATCTCTTTCTCTCCACCAGACCATATGGCCTCATTGTTTTATTTGTTCATTATCTCTAGAACACCTGTGAGCATAGTTAATGACATTTTGGCATTTTGTGAATTTTGTTCCATGGAGAAGTAGCATTCAGCCAATTCAGGAAAACCATAAGCCAGAATTCAATACTTACTGACAAAAACTTGATTGCATTGAATGAAATTTCTTTCTTGGAAACTCCCTAAATTCTTTTGCTCCCTTGCAGGTAATGAAAGCTGTATAGAGGTACTTCTGGAGCAAAAATGTTTTCGCACATTTAGCGGCAATCCCTTTACTCCACTACACTGTGCAATGTAAGTAGACATGCAGAAGTTAATGGTGTTGCTTTAATTCTGTAACTACACAGAGAGAAGTTGCCTTTTAGGGAAGGAAAAGTCTTTCACATTATAGATAAGACCAACGTATTCCATTTTGCTGCTAAAGGTAAATAGGTCTGATAGCAAAGTGTGGTCCCTAATGTTGATGATTTTCCAGAAGATTTTTGTGGAATGCCATGGTTCCAAGGGGGCTCACATACCACCTTAGGAAAACTGCATAAAGAGGTGGACTGAGGCACATTACACACCAGGTGAAAGGCCCTTCAGATGTACTCAAAATTTGTCAGCCAAATTCTAAAAATACTTTGGGCTAGCAGCAATAGCCCTATAAATGATTAGAAAGACATTTTATACCAGGAAGATTTTCATATATTGTAATTCTCTATTCTTCATAAGTTTTAAGGTGTTTCTTTTGGGGGGGGTGGTAAATGTAATTTTTTTCTCCAATCTCATAGTGTGAACCATTGTTCAGGGAATACAGTGACTTTAAGTCAGACCTCCATGGTCACCTGGGTCCTGTGTTCACCTTGGGGACCATGTCACCGAGGCAGCAATGTCAGCCTGGGGGCCTAAGACTTGGGAGTGCTTTGTGTTTGCCTTGTCTCTGAGCTTCACATGAAGATGGATCATTTGATTGCAAAGATATTGGAGACCTAAAGTGGATCAATAAAGAAGGGATAAGGGATAAAGAGAAGAGGTGACTTTAAATCAGAAGAAACATGTCTTTTTCACATTGATTTCCCCCAAAACACCTAACATGATGCCTTGCAAGTGGTGTGCAATAAACTCCTGCCTGGATGTAGGGGTTCTAAAGAAATGAGTGTATGCTGTTAGAACTGTTAAAATGGTAAAGAAGACCATTTAGGTGATACAAACACAGTTGATTTAACACTTTATGATGCAGGCAATGTCCATTCTCAAGATTCCAGAGACGTGCAAAGTAGGTGGAAGGCAGGAAGCTTCTGCAGGATAAAGAATAAAGAACAAGGAAGGGAAAGATTATCTGACTGGCCAGGGTAACATATCTGGCCTTGTTTGAGTTATCATAAAAATGGGTCAATTGCCCATGAAACTGGGTGATCACATATGGTTACTAAATGGTCCGATTTTGGGCAGGTGGAACATTAACAAGAACATGAAGCCTAAAAGTTAAGTTTTGTTTTGCTGACATGATTTCCCAGGCTCTGTGGCACCTGGCCTGCCCAGGAAAGGTTAATGTAAGATCAGTTCAACAATCCTCCCTCCCCTTTGATCAATCTTTGGTCAAGCAAGAGGTTTGATCAAAGGTGGCATTAAAAGTTATTCTCAGTTACCATTTCCTCTTTGGGTCTTAGTCTATATTTCACCAGAGATGAGGTCAAGGTCATCACTCCAGTTGGAGGAAGACCATTTGTGGGTTGGCTGATGGCTAAAACCCTTAAGAAAACACACAACAAACCAGGGAGATAATTACTATTATTAACAGTAAAGGGACTCCTAAGATTTGTAGGGTGCTCCTTAGCCAGGGTCCCCATGAACCAAACCAGCTAGAATCAAGTAAGTCAAGAAATGATCCTAAAGAGGAGATACTTCTTTAAGCCAGTTGGCCTGTTCATGTATTTCATATCACTGTTCCCACACACCCCCTGCCCCCAGAAGTATTTATCCAATGAGCTTGTTACTGAAAAACAGAGGCATTAGAAATCAGGGAGAAGTGTGTGATAGGCCAAACTACAACAGGCATTTGAAGGTTGGCTTAATAATGTTTGCAATGGCCTGAGATATGTGAACAATGGCAACATCTTTCTAGGTCAGGGCAAGGCAAAAGGTAGGCAAAAGAATCATAAATGTCTTTATGGTGTAAAGGTTAGAAAAAGGGTGGTTATTGAGGTCAAGAAGAATGCAATGAAACATTCTTGATCGTGGGAGGAAGCAGTATACCTCAACGTCAGCTATGTCTCTTCCTAGTCAGCTTGATTTTGAGGCCTCTGGTGCTTGCACGGGACCAGACATCAGGTGGAGCCTTCTTCAGTTGTGAAATAGGCACCCAAGGTTTGGCACCTGATAATGTGGCAGGGATGTCAGTGGTCAAGAGTACTTGATAGGAATCTCACTTTTGCAAAGCATCAGAGAAAAACAATAGCTGTCTGAAAATGACAAAAGACTTAAAAATGTCCATGGTTAAACATCTGCTGAGAGTTCGTTATAGTGGAATTGACGAGGAAATTTAGTTATTTCTGTGACACACAACATTTTAAGATGATAACTAGGATTATGACTGATAACATTCTACCAGGACATATCAGATTTTTAGGAATATCATACAATTTCTGGAAAACATATTAAATACTTGTTCCCAAAGATTATCCTACATCACGTGAACTTGAAAAACATTTGGGTTAATTCCTACATTTCTGAGAGTATACTTGATTTATAAAAGTGCCTAATTTTCTTTAAGCCAATTAAAAGGAGCTCTTTACAAAATAATTTAGGCATTACCATCCGGAGGCAGAAAAAAAAATCACATACCTGTAACACATATACATAGACATACATAAATATATAGACAAACACAAGCAGAGATCTTAGAGCTTTCATTTCAAAATTTTAGCCATGAGACAGGTATGATACTGCAAAACTCACTAGTTTATAAAAGAGCAGTCAGATCCAAATTGCATTTCTGGCAGATGGAGGAAGTTGAGGTTATCTTCAGATGGCTACGCTTTTTACTAATATTGATGGCGAAGACTTAAGATTTTTCATACTTCTGTTTCCAAATCACCTTTCTTTTTTCTTTTTCTTTTTTCTAATAAGAATTACCTCTCTGCAGTTCGCATTTTAGTGATAGCACTTTGTTCCTAGAGAAGACTGAGTAGCAGAGCACTTCTGTCTCAAAGGCATGGGAAAAGATTGCAAAGTCCTCCGGGACGGATTTTTGTTTCCTAAATCCAAGATTTTTACACGTACATCTTTTCGAGATAAATAGGGGAGGTTTGGGGATAGGTAAAAAGGGTAGGTGAGCTTTTTCTCTTTTTATAGAGACTTGATTTGTAAGGCAAGGACAGTTTTTTAAAAAATTCCTCAAAGACTTGAGTTGCAACCTGAATGATATCAAGGGGCTATCATTCAATGACGTTAACTTTATTTTGCTTTTTTATATTAGGAAGAAGATCTTTAACTGGTAGAAATCAAAACATTTTTATGTTCTAATTTTCTTAGCTGATTGTCTTTGGAATTCCACCCCCAGGCCCCACCCCCGGCCATAGTTTCAGTTTAGCATGGGGAAGAAGTTCTAAGAAGTGTTCTATCAGGCTTTGAATATCAGCTTCCAAATTGCCCAACTTCTGATGACAGAGCTACTTATTTTTTAGAAATCCCTTCAAATATCTTTTCAAGTTTTCAGCTGAGACAAACAGTAAGTATCCCTGGCAGTACTAAACAACCTCATGCCAGGGTTGTCCCCAAAGAGAGTGGCAAAGATACTACCCTCCCAAGATCCGGAGCCTCTCCCAAAGAGAACCAAAGAAAGGAGGACCACGACAAACAGGAAGGCACTCGCTAGTGCACAGCATGGGGACCATATTAACAATGCTGCAGAGTAGCCTGGAAGTTGCTAAGAGAGTAAATCTTAAAACTCCTCAACACAAGAAAAAAACTTGTAACTACATGTGATGATGGATATTAACTACACTCAATGTGGTGATTATTTTGCAATATATACAAAGAGCAAATCTCGCTGTACACCTGAAACTAATATATCTCAATAAGAAAAAAATAACTGTTAAACTAAAAAAAGGAGATTAAGGCAGCAATAGCTGTCTTTGGGCGAGAAAAAGATTGATAAACAGTGAGTACCTCAAAATTAAATTCACAAGAATCTGAATTTGGAAGGGAAGGGGCTGCCTGAAATTTTCCCTTCCTCTCTTGATGGGGCAGAGCAGAGGCTGGGGAGACCTGACTCTGGGAAGAATTCTCAGCTTCTGTCAGTTTCTGCCAGTTTTCCCAGGATCCTATCTGTAGGCTCTGAGTGAGTTGGCTTTGAAATAGAGTGTAGCCACAGTGTCTACCAGAATTTGGCAAGGTTTTTCCATTGACTTTTTTTTTCTTGTGGGTGAAGGGGAGAAGGGAACCACTACCAGACAGGAAAGTTGGCATGTCCATCAGTTGCCTATCTAAACTTTCAAAGTTGTAAAAAATAGTTTAAAGGCAATGAAGGAGTGGAGTCAGATAGCTTGAAGGGTGGGCTGTGCATAGATAATGCATGCTTTTTTATTTTCAAAGCACAAAGCAGTCTTTATGGTATTTTTTTCCATTACCATTTAGCCCCCTTATACCCCTCTTCCCTCAGCAATCACCACCTGTTGTCCTTGTCCATGAGTCCTTTTTCCTTTTTGCTCAATCCCTCCATCCATTGACTTTAATTTTCGTTTCCCCATGTCAGTTTAGGGAATAACCGGTAGCAGTAAACTAGGGAATCCCTCAAAGTCTCATCAACCCAGGGAGGTATTCATGTAGGGTTCCACCTTTTAAAGTGTATTATGGGAGTGTTTAAAAGATTTGCACAAAACCTTCAAGGGCAGTCTTTCTTCCAGTGTCCTGGTTGATAGCAAGTGAGACTGATTTCCGGGCCAGTGTCTTGATGGTGGAACCCTCAGGAGGGAGCAGCTGGGGAGGCCCAGGCATTGGTTTAGGTTTCTGTGCTTGGAGCTATGGCAGCAGTAAGGCCACTAACTTTGAGAAGACTTTTGATTATGGTCTTGTAGTCTCTTCAGAATGGAAAGGTGATTGAGATGAGGGATTAGTAGACTGTGAGTACTTAGGTGAAGGAGGATAGAGACCGAGCACTAGGAGTCAGGTCAGTCTTACAGTCTTTGTTTTAGGCAGCTCTTGTTAGGTTTAATTTTTTATTAGCCTTTTGCAATGACTCTTTCAGTGAGGCTATTTTGGAATATTGAAGCCTGTTGGAGGTTTCTGCATACCAATAAAATAGGTATCCCATCCTATTTGTTAATTTGGGAACACTTGATTTCAAGGGTACTTCTTAAATGAACGCTCTTATTGGAACATTCCCCACAATGGCCATTGTAATCATAGGTTGTCTTAGTAAGATTTTGCCATTTTTGTAGATATCTACAGCTTCTGGGACCAAAGTTCTCAGCCATAAAATAAGTAGGTGTGCTGGAAGGTAGAAATCTCAGTTCTTTAAAACTTGAGAACACTGTTTCTAAGCTAAGCCTGAGTCTCTTGGAGCCAAATATATACCTAAGAGAAGTGTACCTTTGGGTTGGAGGTTTTATGTTTTATGTACCTCATGACATGGACGTTTTCTTGAGGCTGGCGGCCGACCTAATGTTGGTCTCTTAGGTTTGAGTGGCAGGCACGCTAACAGCTTTCAAGTGCTCGACCCTTGCCCACCAATTTTTCAGCATTGGCTTCCAAGACTCCCAGTAACAACAGAGCTGTTATCCTTTCACAAGATTTTTTTTATAGTGGCAGATACCCTAATGGCTTTTAAGGGTCCAGCTTGTGCACACTTAGATTTTGATGTGCTGTTGGTCACAAATTTCTTGTTTTAATGTATTTCTTAAAGTCTCTGTTAGACTGTTAGCAGCTGCCACTCACTGTGGAGTCCCAAAACTGTTCTGGGATCCCAGAACCTTTGCAGGAACTTTAATAAACCCCTGTGCTTTCAAAATTTGGACAAATTTTTCTTGAGTCTGAATGCTGCACACACGGAATGGAGCCCAGGTCCAAGAGTGACTTCCCCACGGCCCTTGGTGAACCAGAGGCTGCTTTTCCTGTGCTTCTCATCCCGGGGACCTGCAGCGGTCGGCTCCAGACCCTGTCCTCATCCCCAAAACTGTTCACATGATTAAAGAAGATGACGCAGATGATATAAACAAATTTGAACACTTCCTGAAGCAGGCAATTCTACAAAATCTTGAGAGTGGAGGCTGCCTGCATCAGGAAGTGTTAAATAATGGGGTTTTTTTGTATTATCTAAATTGTCTCCTTTTAACAGAACTTAGACCACAGGTATTTGCATCAGATTTTTTCTTTAAAGAATACATCAGATTGTTAAATATATAGTGCATAGGAAGATGGAGTAGATGGGGATATATAATTTTTAGTGAGATTTTAAAATTTTAAATCCATTTTCATTGTAGAATAAATGATCATGAGAATTGTGCATCATTGCTACTCGGGGCCATAGATTCCAGTATTGTCAACTGTAGAGATGACAAAGGCAGGTAAGTGATCCTGAGGTGGCATGTCTCTTTTTGGAGGAAGCTTACTCTATGCTTTGTGGTTGCAGAAGAGCCAGGCATCTTTTTACTTTTTTTAAATTAAAAAGGTAATATAAAAATCATGTTTTTTTTAACAATTAAATATTATGAAGTATATATAGTTAAAAGAAAATTCCCTGAATGCTGCACACACAGCCCAAAAGGCCCAGTCCCCTCCACTGAGGAAGCCACTTCAAACTATTCTTTCCAAATTTCCCTATTCTCCCAAATATTTTCTATACATAGCTACAAACATATATAAAGATATGTATGCTTCTATTCTCTATATGCAAATGGAGCATTCTGTAGCAACATTCTGCTTTTAGTATATCTTGGAGATCTTCTCATACCAAAACACTGAGATTTACCATATTCTTTTTAAAGCTGCATATTATTCATTTGAATGGGCATGTTATAATTTAATCAGCTTGCCCTCTGTTGAAAAATGTTTAGGTTTTTCCCAGAATTTTTTTATTTCAAAGAGTGGTGCAATTCATATGTGTCTGTTTATATGATCCAAGTGTATCTAGGAGATAAAATCCTAGATGTGGAATTACTTGCTTAAAAGGCAAATAGTTTTTAATTTTGACAAATAATGCCAAGTTATCTTCCCCCAAAATCAATCATCCGCATTAGGTGATGTGGGCTTTTTTTAAAAAAAAAAATAGCCAATTATTTACAAATTTAAGGTGTAATTTTGAAAGAATCAAAGGGGAGAGAAAAGTCCCTGGACCTCAAGATTAAAGCAGTCAATAAAGACGTTAATTTCACCATCAGGGCTAGCACCTGTACGCCATCCACAGGGTCCAACGTGAGTGTCCGTCAGAGGGGGCCCAATCATTATCTCTGAGAGGTTTTAAATCCCTGAGACAAAACCCTGCACGTGTTTCTCTGGCTTTTGCAGTAAGAGGGCGTCTTAAGGGTAAAAGCAGCTAAAATCAGATTTGTTTTAAATTGTTAGGACACCGCTTCATGCAGCAGCATTTGCTGATCACGTGGAGTGCTTGCAGCTCCTTCTGAGACACAGCGCTCAAGTGAACGCAGCGGACAATTCAGGGAAGACAGCGCTGATGATGGCTGCCGAGAACGGGCAGGCGGGCGCCGTGGGTATGTGCGTGACGCGTGGACCTCTCGTTGATGCCTATCCAAAACCAAAGTAACGCAAAATCAAGAAATCAGTTTGCTCCTGGTATATACGTATAGGAAGATCCACATTTTCTTTAAGCCACCTGACTGTCGGTGTTAATTGCCTGCAGTCCTGTTACTGGATTGCTGATGGACCTTACCAACATGAGCCAACCTTTCTGCAGTGAAATCTCTTGACATTTAAGAACCAAATGTAACAACATAATCATTTTACCCGGAAATAAAACTGTAAAGACAATTAAAATGAATGTTTATAGGCCTTGGATTTGGATGAAACAAATGCAGCAATAACTTGTTTCTTTTTTTGTTAAAAACATTAGATATGATTATGTGAGCTGCAGTGATTTAAATATGTTATTGTTTCTGTAGTAACATCTTCAAAATGCATGTAGTCTGAGTAACTTTGTTTTGTTTTGTTTTTTCTATAGATATTCTGGTGAACCTTGCCCAGGCAGATCTGTCTGTAAAGGATAAGGACTTGAACACACCCTTACATTTGGCTTGTAGTAAAGTATGTAAATGAATTGGAAACACTGTTCTTTAGTGTAATCATAACAATTATGCCACTTAAATTCTGTCTCAAAAGTGTGTATCATGGCTCTTAATTAAGACGTACATTTCCCCAGGATGGTGTCAACTCTTAAGCAGAGTGGAATCGAAGGAGGAAAGGCAAAGGGTGGGCCCACACGGGGGTGATAAGATGCTATGTTTTTCATGGCGTTCGCCACTTGCATTCTTGCTGCAATCTGTCTTCATGCTGCCACTGTACCTGTTTCCACGGTTGTGATCCCATGCTTTGGTTTTAAACACAGGTTAGAACCTGAGATATATGGCTTCTGAAATATAAGCAGTTCCACTTGTTTTCATTTTGTCTTGTTTGAAGGCATTTTGATAACACAATCAAAAAAATACTCTTATACGAAGCACATAAATGGGTACATATACATTTCTGCCCTCTCCCTTTTTTCTGGTGCATAGTTCAATGTGAAGAATGCATTGGATTATTTAATAAAAAATAGCATTGTGTTCACATATAGTTCAGGGTCCTTGCTTCAGCAAAAGATAAATGGTACATATAGATATATGCTTTTACAAAAGTAGGATCATACTGAACACAACCTGCTTTTGTTACTGAATTTTATATTATGAATATCTTTCTTTTAGATATTTTATAATGTTTTGGAAGATGTGTAGTATTCTACCTTAGGAATGTTTCATCCTTTAATCAACCCATCTACCACTGTTAGACATTTGCTTGTTTTCAAATATAAGCTACTATAAATAATACTAATTGTGGAAATAAAATTTTAGGAATCCTTGTTCCTTTAAAATAAATTCCTAAATATGAAATTATTGAGCCTGAGGCTATGAACATTTTAAAGACCAAATTACCTTGTAATGAAGTCACAATCATATACACTCCAGCAATAGTACATCAGAATGAAACCTTCAGCCCTGGCCAGGTAGCTTAGTAGGTTAGAATGTTATCCCGACACATCAAGATTGTGGGTTCAAGCCCCGGTCTGAATCAAACAATGAATGAATAAATAAGTGGAACAAGAAATTGATGTTTCTCTCTCTCTCTCTCTCTCTCTCCCCCCCCTTTACTTCCCTCACTCTCCTTTAAAATCAATTAAAGTTTTTAAAAGAATGAAACCTCCATGGAAATTTCTAAAATTATATTTAAGAGTCTCTCTTATAAGACATTATAGTATGATGCCAGTTGACACCAGGGATGGTGGTTTATTTCAACACAACTACAGTGTTAAAGGTATTGTCTATACCCACTGGTACCAGAAGTCTCAGCTGTTCCTTTCATTGGTTGCATTTTCTCATTTCATGTTTTGCGAGGCCCATGGAAAACCCAAAAAGTGCTCAGTTGCATAAAGTTGGTTTCAAGATATAGTTTTCATGAACATAAGTATAGTGCTTTTCAAATGCTGCTGTGCCATTGAATCACCTGACATGCTGTTAAAATTTGGATTCTGATGTAGTAGGTCTGGAGTGGGGCTTGAGAGGCAACATTTCCATCCCAGGTGATGCTGATGCTTCCAGTCACAAGGGCTTAGGAAGCCGTGACCCCTTAACAGAACATAGATCTGAAACTGAAAGCATATCTGATTAATCGATTGATTTTTTAAAATTATCACCTGTCTGTTGTCATAAGATGCAGAGACAATTTTCCCTAGTTGAGGAAGAAATAAACTTTCTTGAAAAAAGAATCCTTTCACAATAGAAGGCAGTAAATGATGAGCAATACAGATAACAGGACTAAGGGGAGTTCCAAGGGTGAGGGGAGTCACTGAAATGGTTGGTCATTGATGACTTGAGGAAGGAGATGGGACTTGACTTATATTTAAGGTTGAAAGACACTTATTCTACTCTGTTTGCCAGCTCACCTAGCTGAACTGTTCCCTGTTTCAGCTCCCTAGACATTAATTCTAAAAGTTGTCCTAGAAATATTAGTGTTTCAGATCAGATTTATATCAACCAAGTCCTAATGGACCTCATTCAGAATCTTGAAGAATCTTGAAGAATCTAGGGCCCTTTGACTATTTTGCATTTTAGAAGAAAAAAAGAATTACTCCAATGATAGATAGCCTTACAAAATGTATATAGGCAGGGGACATTCATTTTAAATCTGCAGTGTAATGAAGTGATTGTTCCGGAACTTTTCAATGTCTCTGTCCTGTATTTCTTTTTTTTTTTTTTTCTTTATTAGGGTCATGAAAAATGTGCCTTGTTAATACTTGACAAGATACAAGACGAGAGCCTTATTAACGCACAGAATAGTGCACTGCAGACGTAAGTGTGACGACTAAAGTTTGACTCATACCCAAATTCATAGTTATTTCTTTGACAAATATTAAGAGCTTGCCTTGTGCCAGGCTAGAGCTGGGGAACACAGCTGCAAAAGACAGAGACCTGGCTTCTCCTTATGAAGCTCAGTAACATGCCTGCAAATGCAGACCAAGCGAGACATCCTTAGTTAGAATCTTTATTTTGATATGCCGTCACAGAAATTTGTGAGGTCTCTGTTTATCTTTGCTGATATTTCTATGGTAATATTACAAATTTTGTGGGTGGTCAGAAAATCTTATGGGCTGACATATTTGGGGAAATATTTGTATAAATGTATTAGCATTATGTATTCTTACTGGAAAATGACAGTTTTATAAATCAGGTTCCCAGAATATATTGGAAGAGTTTCTAAGCTATTTGCCTTAATTATACTTTAATGTAATTCAGTGTCATCCTTGGTGTGAAAGATCTCAAAGCTGCTTCATTTTCTATTTTAGGAAATTACATATTTGTTTGAAGGGCAAAGGAATATTAGGATTTGTTTTTCATTAAAATTCTTAAGGAATATATAGCAGAATATACTGGGTTGGTTTTTTTTTTTTTTAACACTTTATTTTTAGAGAGAAGGGAAGGGAGGGAGAAAGAGGGAGAGAAACATCGATGTGTGAGAGAAACATTGATCAGCTGCCTCTCGCATGCGCCCCCAACCGGGGACCCTGGCCTGCAACCCAGGCATGTGCCCTGACTGGGAACTGAACCAGTGACCTTTCGCTTTGTGGGACGATGCTCAACCAACTGAGCCATGCCAGTCAGGGCAGAATATGTTGGGTTTGACATTATTCTTTAAGGTATTCTAAATTCAGTAAAATATCATTTAGTAATAACAAGGAGGTTTGAGATAATTATATACATGGGTGACAGTAAAGTCATATTGTTGAACTTCGTGAAACAGTTGTTCAAATGCTAGAGTAGAAATCAAGGGGTAAGGAACCTTCCAGGAAGCACACTAGAGCCTGAGTCTTCTTCTCTTTTCCTATTTACTGTCACTGAGGTTGTTTGAGATGCAGAGTATTTGTAATATCTCTAGAGAAATCTGGACCATCATGGAAGAACCGTTGAGTCATTAGAACCTGGAAGAGATCTGGTCAACAAATCTCTTTTTTTAAAAGTAAAAATGTTCATATACTATTTATGGATTCTCAAGCGCTTTCTTCCTTTTAACAATGCAGGCCACCCAAATGGTACTTTCTCACACAAATACGTATCACGGTTGACCCTCAGTGTTCTGTTTTCAGGCCCCTCCACATTGCTGCGCACAATGGCTTGAAGGTCGTGGTTAAAGAGCTGTTGGCCAAAGGGGCCTGTGTCCGCGCTGTTGATGAAAATGGTAAGCGGAAAAAGTAAACAATTGCTGCAGGTACCTTCCCTATGCTGTGAAGCCAGAGGAAATGAGAGCTGTAGGAGCTAGTTAAAAAGGCAGTAAGAATTCTCTCCCTTTTGGAAGTTCCCTGTGTGTGAGAAATCAAACAAGGATAATTTGTCCTGTCTGTCTGAGCTGTAGCCCGCCATTGCCTTTCATTTTGCATGTAATGTCAGCAGCTGGTCTCTGAACTCCTCAGCGTGGTGGTTAAAATATTTTAGACACACTAAAGCGCTTTCAACTTGGTGTTCACAATTCTGACTGCATACGCTGAAGAGTTAGGGATTACACATCATTAGTGCATGCTCAAGGTCTCACATAAAACACCAGGTCTCTGTATTTCAGTTCATTCTGAGATCAAACCGTTTTGTTTTTTTTTTTTTTTTTAGAACAGATCAGAACTCATATTCTCAGTATGAATATTTGGGGAACATGAATAAAAATTTTAAATTAATGTCTAGGCCTGAAACTTCTCTTTATCTATATAACATCCTTTTCTAAATGAATTAACTCTTAACAGAAGCTTTCTACTCTGCTTCCTAAGAAATTCTGAAAGCTAATGAACACTAGAGTTGTATTAACCACCATTTTAAGCACAATGCCTATTATCCTTGGGGAGCAAAAAAGGGACTTCTGGATATTTATGAATTAAGTTAAATTTTTAAAACGCAGCATTAATTGTGGCATTTAATTAAAGTATAATAAAGTGTATTAACATAACTCAATTAACTGCTTATTACAGGTATTGGAATTAGCAGCTCATGCCTATTTCTCAGAAGTAAGCGCCGTGTGACATCATTAGCTAACTCCTCTTAGTGCTGGTTCTGCAGCCCCGCTCACCCTGGCATGTTCCCTGCTCCGTCCCCAACCTGACTCATGTAGGAGGCGCAGAAAGTTCTCTCTTACTTCATCTCTTTGATGTTCCTGGCTCACCTGCTCTCCCCCTGTACTCACCGCTAATTACCCTAGGATTGGCATTCGGAGGCCCACAGTTTTTCTCCAAAATGACCAAAGAGACTAGAATACATTAGTTTCGCTTCTCTGGTGTAAGTCTGAAACAACTAAGCCTCACCCAGCCAATAACGACCTGGGCCAGTGGGACTGTGACTTGTCTGTCTCAGAGCTTAGCTTTATCCCGAAGACCTGGGAACATTTGAGGCAATTTAGTACAGCACTTCAATCATAACTCCTTTACTCATTAAAGACCTTTGTGGAATAGGATGTTCAGATATCTGTCCATTTTTGTTTGTTTTTATACCCGAGAGGGAATAATATGTTAAGGGGGGTAGGGGGGAGGAGAAATGAGGTCAAGTGCTGATAAACAACACACCAAAAAGTGAAGTTTTATAAGCCATTTCATAAATGAGTGAGTAGCAATAGGAACTTTGGCCAGCACAGAGGACAGGGTAATGCTTACAGGCCAGGAGAATCAAGGTGGAATAAGGTAGTAATAATTACAGCAAAGAACGTATCTGTTTCCCCACACAACTGTTTCATGCATTGAGATAGTACTATCTTCTGGACCCATGAAGTCTAAATGGTAGAGGATGATAGGGCCCCATGTCAACTGACTTTGATTGGCAGTGTTGCTATTTTTAAAAATTCTGTTAAGTTTCTTTTAAATGATAGTACATTTTTAACTCCAAAAAAACAGTGCCTTCCTGTGTCTGATCTACTCAAATGATTCCATTTTTCTAAAACAAGTTAATTGTTGTATTTTTATATAAAGTGTATATATAGAAATATATATTTATATTAATATATTGTCAATATATAAATAATATATATTTATATATATAGTGACAAAGCTGTGTGACTCACTTTTACAGACATCTGGTTTTTAGTATCTTTTCTAACCTGACACGCGATTGCCTACCATGAAAAGTCATTGTTCTCAGAATGAGAGTGCTCTGGCCCCAACCTAAGGCGCATGCTGTGTGTGGTGCTCTGCAGTGGAAACACCTTCCTGTTGTCCTGTTGCTGTTTTTTGTGGAACCGTCTCCCACCCCCACCCCCACCCCCTCGTGTTTCTGTTCACTAGACAAAGAATGTAATTCTGCCTAACTTTAGATAACATAGTGCTTGTTGCTGTCATGTAAGCTGAAAAAGAGGGAAAAAAAAATAAACAAACCCTCCATAAAATGTTTCCCCCTCCAGTCCCCTCTAGCTTCACCCCTAGCATGACCTGCGGGAAGTAACTCCTATTGCCTGGCATGATTTCTAACGCAACATACATCTCCACGTGTGAGGTCGTTCGAGATGTACTGTGGAAGGCTCACGCGCCTCTGGATTTCCCTGACTAACCACTGCCTTGTCTGCATTTACGCCCAGGTCATACCCCGGCCCTGGCTTGTGCTCCTAACAAAGACGTGGCTGACTGCCTGGCCCTCATTTTGGCTACCATGATGCCTTTTTCTCCTTCCAGTACAATGACGGCTGTCAACTTCGTTTGTTTTAAAAAAGACAATTTGAACAGGACGACCCTCTCCAATCTGGGTAGCATGGGTAGCCTGTGCAGTAACAACGTAGGCTCGGAGGATGGGTACAATGAAAATGATTCTGACTCGGAAACGTTTTGACTGTGGACTGTAGAAGTTTTCCTTGATCGACCGTGTTGAAGAAAGGGAAAGAAGCTTGAATTCCAGGTTTATGTTGTGTTCAAGTATTATTATGGGCCCAAGCTCTCAGAAGCCAGTAGAGAAGGAATTAATCAAACTGAGAGAGGGCAGGTAGGCGGTAGGAGGAAGCACTCACACAGACTGGCCCCAGTTCTGATTTATTTCATGTTTTCTTTAGATCTGAGATACTTCTGTGAAAGTCTACCTCTCGTTTTAAGTAAAGAATAAAGAAATGCATTTAATTCTCTTTCTTTGGGGATGAGAGGGAACTGTTGCTCTCTTGAAGTGTTTTTTTTTTTTTTCTCTTTTTTTCATGATCTCACTTGGCAGTGAGTTCTCAGAAGTATATCAATGTGACATTCACGTCCCCAGGGAGGGGAAGGAAGGGGTAGACAGGAAATGCCTCAAATCCCTTCTCACTTTGATGTTTACTTCCTCACTATAAGCCAAAGGTAAAAGTGTTTATCTTCAGAAATAATGCCTGTAATAATCTTTTCAAGGGAGTGCAATTATTCGTGTCCTCTCTATAGTCAGCACTTAAATATCCAGAACTTCTTTCTGAGGATATTGTTCAAGTTACCAGGTGAAGGGGTGAAATTCATTGAAAACTGAACTGGTTTTTTCCCATTGAACACAAATATGGCACCACTGCTCCCCATAACATGCCTGTGACTTATTTTCACCTATTGATTGAATCCAAATCTGTCTAATAACCTTTCAAATGAAAATTATATCGCACCAAAACTTTGAGACATATGCAAATTTAATATGAAACTACCCTTTATTGATTCGTCCTTATATCAAAATAACTTTTTTTAAAAAATCAGGACCACCAGCATTGTTCATCAGTAGTAAAATATTCAATAAGCCTCTCAGTCAAGGTTATGCCAAGTGAGTGAAAGTGTGATTGCAAAAGGGAACAAAGGAAGAAAAAGGTGGTAGAACTGGGTGATGTGGAAATTAAAGCCACTTGATAGTTGCTTGATGATGAAGTCAACATAGTGAATACTGTGTCTGCTCCCTCTGCCAAAGCTTCTAGGTCAAATGGACCCCGTTCCGCACCTGGAATAGCTGTACAAAAAGAAGAATGAGACTCTTTAAAAATTATGCACATACACATGCGTACATATATGTATATATATGTCTGTATTTCATCGACCAGCTATCCATGAGGACCAAAATACTTCAGTCTAAAACGGAAGATATAAATTGTTTTTCTTCAAAGGGAAAGTGAGAACTGAAGTAGCTTTTCTATGTAGTTAAAATGTAATCTTTTTTTGCATAATAGTCTTTGTTGTATTTTATATTTCTTATGACAGAGATTTCTAGTTGATGGCTTAACATTTGTAACTGATAATGTGTTGACCACGGCTTTTTTTTTTTTTTTGCCAGACTAGAGAAAATGTTCATACACTTTTGATGTAAATGCGTTTATATTTATTTGAAATGAAACAAATCTGAGGAAACGCCTTTTGTTTGTTCTCTCACTTCATTGCTATGTGTCTCACTTGAAATAACAAAAAAAAGCAGAAACACATACAGGGCCCTCCCGCGGCTAGCCCGCAGGCCTGGGGACCAAGCCCACCATTCCTACTGCTAAGGTTTCCAGCCCAGCCTCAGGCTCTGTCATGTTGACTGTAGAGGGATACAGCATCCATCACTCAGCCCCAGTCTGTGGCCAGCTTAGAGCTTAGAAGACACTGGAGTCCTTATGCTCTTCTGCCAGGTAACAGCTGAAGTGTGCAGTGGATCATATGCGCAAAGGTGGCCAAAAGAAAGGTACAGAAATTATCGTCAATACACTGAAATCCCACATGGTCCCAGGAACCTAATGGGAAGCTCTATCAGTGTGTGGGCGCAGGCACCAAGAGAAGAAATAAAAATCACCAGCTTAAGTGCTATTTTCCACGTGAGGAAGAGACAGGAAGAAAACATTGCATTAGGGCAATACTCGCTGACCATTTCATAATTGGTTTCTTTTTTGCCCTGGAAATTTCTGCTTCATAATGTATGTGAGATATTTTTAAAACAGTGTTCTTGCATATCTGGATCAAATACAGATACTGTATTATATTTTTTCATCTAACTGTAAAAGACTTTAATCTTACTCTTTTAATATCCTGGATTTAATTAAAAACTCATGCTGGGTTCTTCACAGATGCGAACTGGTTCAGAGGACTTACAGAATTAGTATGAATTTTACTGAAAATTTTCAGCACCACCAACATTGGATTTTTAATTTCCCTCCTTCCTATCTCTGTCCTTTTTGTTTGTTTAGAGAAGATGAATTTTTTTACAGTAAATGAATTGCTAATGAGCAATAATGACCTTGTCATTACCAAAACACTGAAAATAGGAGAGGTCCAATGCTGAGAAGCACGATATACTGCGGTGTCTTTTTCTAGAAGTGAATGGAAATCTTGCTCAGTTGGCGTTGAAAGCAGGAAAGGAAATGGCTGCTTGAACGGTGAAGCAGCGTTGACATTTTCCTGTAGAGCCGTGCAGAGAACAGGAACGCTGCAGCAAAGCGGTGCCCTGCGACACTGTCTCCATGGAGCTGCGTTTTGACTTCCCCCCTCCCTTACTGATAGAAAGGAGGACAAAGGAGCGAAATGAAATCCTGCTTGCTGCAAACTGTTTATTGAATCAATCTCTCCTCTTTCTCCCTCCCCCCAAACCAATTTTTTCCTTTAAGAAATGACTTAAAAAACTCTGAGTTCTGTGTTTTTCAAATACATCTCAGAAATAAAAGTAGATTTGCAACATGGCTTTCTAAGAAGAAAAAAACCCAGAAAACATTGTGCTTTTCATTGAGTCTTAATTGTTTAGTGCTTTTACTTAAATGTGTTGTTTTTGGACTGTATTTTAACCACAGCCACAGGGATCATGTTTCATTGCACTTAACCTGTTCGCCAGCGTCTGCCTGTCCCTGGTAAATTCATTACCATCTCCAAATTGCCTAAAATCTGCTATGATTCTACAGTAAATAGCTCAGGGGATTTCTATTTATCACTACTAAAAGGGCACCATAGTATGTTTTGGTACTTTAGTCAGTAAATGGCTGCTTGATTTATTATTTTATTATTAAATTAGAACAAGAACATCAAATGGATTTGCTGCACTAGTTATTCTTTGTACTGTTGAGCAACTTGGTTTGCTTATCTGTTGCATTGGTTGAAGAACTCATCCCTTTTTTTGTCCTGTAATATGAAGTTAGAGTGCCTTTTTATATTTGTATATTCTGAAAATGTTCTGTGAAATGTTTTGTATTTTTTTTTTCATTTGAGTGTTACCAGAGCAATATAATACCAGTGAGTTTTCATTTCAGCCTTTCTTTGAATGTATAAACTGTCTTTTTTCCTATTTCCCCTTTTACCTGCTTTGAAGTGAAAATGAAAATGCTGAAGTTTTCTCTAGAAGTTATGTTTGATTTTGCAGTGCTAAAATGCTTTCTTCTTACAAAACTGTAAACCATAGGTCAGTGTTATCGGGGGGAAAAGCGTTTTAAGATCGTGACAATCTGAGTGTGTGTACAAAGTATAATTCTATGCGTTTCTTATGCAGTGATCTAAAAACTCAATGCAAATACCTTTTGTTTGGTAGTTTGTCTACATATTCTATGCTTTAGCATGTGCAATATATCTTTGCAAAGCACGATGATACAAATCTGGTGCCAGTGTTATATTTTGCATAACATATTTGTAACAGCATAAAACATTGTGTGATGATTTCAGTGGGATTTTGTCTGTAATGTTTTCTTATGTAAATTGGAGTTGAATGACTGGTTAATGTCATGACTGTAAAAATGAGGAAAATGACTTTTAGTTCAGTGAATGACTTTGAACCAATCTGAATCTCCTCAAGCACAGTTTAATACTTTTTCAACTACTGAATGCTAATAATGTAATGAAGTACTTAACTGTAATATACTATGGAAATGCATTCAGGTGGTTATTTTTACAAATAAAAACGGTACAAATATTGTTGCAATTTCTGTTCTTTAATTTTTTCAATTTTGCTAATTTTACCAATTATTCTGCTAATTTAACCAATTATTCTGCTAAGTTATATCATTATCCCCCCTACCAAAGTCAAATTAACCTTCAATTTTGAAAACAAGTAATCAAGATAGAAGCATATGTCCAGATTTGTTTCTTCTGTTTATATCATCACAAATAGAGAAAAAATTCAAACATATATGTTTGTGTTGATTATATTTACTTCTGCCTCCTACTTTTGTCATAAAAGATTTGAGTTGGCTTGTAGCAAGAGACATGTGATAAACCAGAAGTAGAAAACTTAGAAGAGAAAAAAGAATACAAACAAATGTGGGCACTGTAAAATTTAACACAGTGGCTGTGATTGAACTTGAGTCTGCTCGAGGCTTCCTTGTGCCTAAGGTAAGAGGAGAAATGTGACTAATCGTCTTGATCACATATGTCAGAAAGGAGGAAGCCTATGAGGTCCTCGAAATTGTGAATTCAGACATACTTATCTTTGTTGTTGCCACCACTACCTTTCAACTGCACCACAGTAGCACAAGACCCAACCTCTCTTCACTGTTAAAGGTAGATACAGGATTTTCTCGACATCCTACCATCAAAATATCCCCCCTTGAGTAGTAATTTCAGGGACAGTCCCTAGAAGCACTGAGGAGCAAATTCTTAATGATGGAGTTTCCAGCTGATGAGAAAAAGATTTTCAGGTGGAGCCTTCCTGAGTTCCTCAAATCAGTGTTACAGAGTGTCAGCAGTTCTTTCGGTCTAGCCCAATTCCATCACCATCTCTTTCTTGAAAACACTGAACCCCAGGGAAGTTACATAATTTGCTCTAATTTGTGTATGTATACAAATTTTTAGTGATCTGAATACACAACTTGTGCCTATAGATGTTCTCTCTTTTGGGCCATCCTACCAAAAATAATGTTTTGTGGTTGATTTTTATAAGTATTATTTTTGCTAGAAATGCTCAGAGAGGTTGCACTCTGCCCTGTCCTTATTCAAGTAAATAAATCTAAGTGCTTTTCACTTCTGACGATTATAAAGCATGAATCACACCACAGAGGAGTCCCTCCTGTAGTTCAGAGCAGACTGGGATATATTAGTTATCTAAGGATGTGTAACAAATCACCGCAAAACTTAGCGACTTAAAACAACAAGCGTTTATTGTCTCATAGTCTCTGTGGGTTAGGAGTCCAGGCTTGGTTCGGCTGGGTCTTCCGCCACAGGTTCCCGTACACGCTGTCATAACGGTGTTGTCCAGGGCTTCATTTTCGAAGCTCACTCATATGGAGGTGGGCAGGATTCTTCATTGGCTGTTGGACTGGGGGCTTCCGTTCTAATGGCCGTTGGCTGCCCCGGGTTTCTTGCCACATGGGCCTTTGCACAGATCGCTCACAGCGTGGCAGCCTGCCTCGGGGGAGCAAGCCAGCTGAGAAATGACAGAGGGCAAGGGAGGGACGGAAGTCACAGCTTTTTAACTGAATCTCGAAGCAACGGTCTGTCATTTTCCCATATTATCT